CCCGGGGGGAGGCGCAGGGGGCTGGGCGTGCGGCTCAGGGCTGGAGCGCCTGCCTAGCATGCGTGAAGCCCGGGTTCGATTCCTCAGTCCACAGAAAAGGCCAGCAGCGGCGCTGGGGCTCAGGGACCGCCCCAGGCTCTGAGTTCAAGCCCCAGGACTGGCCGAACTAAACTAACTGATTAACTCCCAGGAGGGTTGTAGGCATTAGGCCGGCCTCTGGGCCTCAGCTCCCCCAGCCCCGGGGTCCGGGCCCTGCAGCTGCCCCTCCCTCTCCCCGCGCAGACCCACCCGCGCTCCCACCTGCCTCACTTCCTACCCCCACCCCCACGGCTACCTAGACAGTGAAAGGCGCCTTGTGCTCCTCCTCTAATAAACCTTATAAACTCTTTCTCCTGTGCCTGCCTGCCTCCGCGTGGCCCCCTGGGATGGTCGGGATGGATCCTTTCAAGGGTAACCCAGGGTACTCAAAGGAACGGGACTCAGGAATTCCCATGACCACACTTGGGATGGACTGTGGACATCCCGGCCTCCTGTGAAGCAGCAGAGGAGGAAGGCTTGGAACCAACACCTAGGAGAAAACCCCACAGCACAGACGAGAGGCTGAAGTGACAATGAAGCCTCGGGGAGAAGAGGTGATCCCTACTTGCTCCCAGGAGCAGGTTCTTCCTACAGGTGCAGACTAGGAGAAGGCATCTATCCAGAGGTGAGATTTTGGTCAACAGAGACCATGAGCAAAGAGGGGGGCCGTTAAGGGATGGTCTCACTCGTGCGCTACTATCCTCATCACATTTAATCCTCACAACACCCCTGTGAGGTAGGTATTATTGCCCCATCTTACAGATGAAGAAACTGAGGTTCACACATGCCCAGGGGCACATAATTAACAGCACATGTCTACAATTCCAACACCTGGGTTCTTAGCCCATCCATGCCTCAGCCAGGATGGTAAGAACTCTTACAGTAGCAGAAAGACAGCACAGGGACATCAAGATAGATACACACACACACACAGAGCAAAATGAACACTGAGTCTATCCCTCCATTTCTGTACTTCTGGTTCAAGAGCATTTGTGGATACCCTTGGCTAAGTGATTCTTAATATTGAAGAGAAAAAAAATCTAGGCACTGACAGCTCACTTAGCTATTTAGGAGGATGAGATCTGAGGGTCCAGGTTGGGAGACAGCCAAGTAACCAGCAAAACAGGTGGGAAGTGGGGACACAGCTCAAGTGAAGATCATTAGCCATGAGCAAAAGAGCAGAGTAAGACAATCTCGGAGTTCGAATTCTAGTACCTGCATACACACACCCAAATAGGAAAGCAACCAGTATACCACAGGGCTGGTACGGCAGTGGTCAGCCTGTGGCAGCCTCCTCAGCCAGGCTTCCCGCATACTGAGCTAAGGCCTATCACTTCTGAAATGAGTTAGACCGAGGAGCAGGATATGCCCTCTTCTGATGGGAAAGAGGCAACTCCAGTGATCAGACTTCTCTGCTCTTCATCTTGGTCACCTCAGTTTTGACAAATGACTTTTTCCTGGTCATCCCTCTGGGAAAATTGTTTTGCACACTGCCAGGATAGAACCAACTGGCTGACATCAGATTTCTTTTTCAGCTGTGCATAAATAATGCCGGAAGTCTATTCTCTTTTTATTCAATACCCTCTGTTTCAAATGTTACTTTTGTTTTCATCTTGAAAGGAGGAAGAAATCCAGATGAGAAAGAATGGCCCAGAAATTCAGTGCAGAGATGTTCACATGGATATCATGGGGACAGACAACCCGTTCTGGAAGGAAACAGATTTCTAAGATGAGACAAACATACCAGAGGGAGGGAGCCTGTGGCCCCAGTTCTGGGTCACCACACTTGCAGCCTGTAGGGAAGGGAATGCTGCATGCAGTGGGAGGGCAGCGAGGGGACAGGTGTGCGGAGAGCTGCTTGCTGGTGCCCGCAAGCAGGCAGCTTTCTAGCAGAGGCTCGAGCTGTGCCAGCACACTCTGGCTACAGACTCAGAGTGTGCAAGCTGTTGGTTTCTGGCATGGGTTGAGGAAGGGCTGGAAAGACTACAACACACACAAGCTGAGGTTTCCAGAGACAGCAGGACACAAGAGGGTACAGAGACATGGGCTTCACGTGTTGTAGCATGTTGGCTTTGTGGCTAGACTCTCCAAGGAGAAGCAGCTAAGTTTTTCACGGAATCTGATGTTCCCATGGCTCAGATGAGGCTCCTTGGACAAAGAAACTTGGTATCCAGGAGTTAGCACTTGGGAGTTTCGGGCGAAGGCCACCGAGCACCCACCTTCAATGCCCATTCCTCCTCCAGGACATCAACCCTTCCCTGTAAACATTCACACGGCACCCGCTGACACACGCTCATAGCTTCCGGAAGCCCAACATTGCGTCCTCATCACTGTGGACGGAGAGGTTTTGCCGCTTGACCTGTGGCTGGGGAGCCCTGCTCTCCAGGGGGCTGGGGGGCCGACACTGTAAACATGACTTCTTGGCCTGATGATGGCAAGGCTGTGTGCTGGGCTCGCTGCCTGGGGACGGCGGTGAGGTAGATCCAGGAGCGCCCCCCGCACTGCCGTCCACAGAGTTTGTGGGGCTCGTGCTGCTGATGGAGGAGTACCCTGAGCTTGTGATGTCTTTGCCCAGCTCCCTCCTGTTGCAGACAAGGGGCCTGGGCCCTGGGATTGGTCTGTGGGTGGCTGGCCCCTGGCGTCCCCCATCCTCTGGGCAGGCCTCGTCGTCGCTGGATTCCTGGCAGCAATGCTCATCTGGGTTCAGGTAGACCACGGTGACATCGAGGATGCCGCTGGGAGCTGTCACTGTGGGAACAGACAGCTCGAGCATCAGGGGGAACCCTCTGCTTGGTCACAGCCCAAGCAGCCCCGTAGTTCAGGCTGAATATCCCATCTATCTGGCTGAAGGCCTTTGTACAGCTCCCGGTGACACATGTCCCTCAAGGCCAGAGAGTCACCCTCTGCCGAGGCCAGCAGGAGACAACACAATGGCCATGGAGTTTACTGAATCCCTCATGGACACCAAGGTGAGTCACTGGACAAGCAAGAGAAACTTGCCACAGCCAGACCAGTCCTGGCCAGAACATGGGAGAAATTCCCTTCGTGAAGCCCGTCGGGGGTAAGTGGTTCATATATCCTACACGGCACATCTCAGTGCTCTAGAAATTTCATCAGAAACTCCAGACAGAGTCTCTGTCTTCCCTCTGCCCAAATGATGTCCTTCAGCCAAAACAGAACCGGCTGGAACTAGACATGGGTTTGGCCTAAATCTCCTCATGGTGTGGAAGAACCTCTCACTCAGTTATTTTGGGGCTCTCCTCCCATGATTCCCCTGTGTCTGGATGCCCTTCTATGGGGAGGGTGTGAGGCTGGTTGGCCAGGCCCAGGTCTCCACGCAGGGTCCTCTGCTGCACACAGCACTGGAGGCCAGGAGGCACTGGGTCGGGCATCTTCTGCAGAGTCTCCCTCCGCCGCACCCAGGCCCAAACTCACCGTCACCTTCCTTCTCGCCCTCACTTTCCTGGTCACCCTCGTAGCCGGAGCAGCAGTCCAAGCTCCAGTCCAGGAAGCTGCCCAGCAGGGTCTCCTCCTGGCTGGACAGCTCTGCGGTGGGGGTGGTCACGAAGCTGCCCCTGTCCTCCTGCACGCTGTTCTCCCGCTTCCTGTGAGGTGGGAAGAGCCAGACAGCCCCCGTCTAGACAGCAGCGTCGGAAGCCAGACTTGGTCCTCTGCACCTGCCTTAAGCTATTGGCCCTGACAAGGGTCTTGAAAGGTCTGCTGGGTAGAAAACGCCACAGAGCGTTCTGGAGAGCAGGGGCGTGTCTAGAGGAAGAACAGCAGTGCCCTTGGCCTGTGTGAGTCGTGGTGTGGCTGGCCATGATCAGGGTACTAACTTCTCTACCCCTCTGGAAACTGGCAGGAAGCGCATCCTACCCACTAGACCTGCCGTTCTGGTAAAGGGCTGCACATCTGCCCTCCTGGGGTCAGGGCAAGAGGCTGAAGCGCTGGCCTGGCCCTGGGAGAAACTGCCATACTCAGGACCCTTTCTGCTTCCTGATTTTAGGGAGTCGGGGTGGCTGCCCCAGTATCTCTGTGTGAGTGTGTATGTGTGTGGGGGTGTCTCTCCTGGACACCTGATAGGGCTATGGGAGACTGGGGAGCAGATTTTACTGGAAGGCTGGGTGCATGAGAAGAGCACATTTCCTAGGGCACAGACACATGTGTCTGTCGTGGCTTTCCTCGTGTTGACCCTGCCCCTGAGGCGTGGGGTGCTGCATGCAGCGAGGTGTCAGAGGCCCTCTGGAAGCCCAGACCCCCCATGTTCAGCCCAGTGAAAGTGCCAGTGCCAGGAGCTGGAGCTGCTTCCTCCAGGCTCCCCCAGAGCTCAGGGGTCTGTGGAGGCAATGAGAGCAGCAAAGTGGGGCCCACACACATGGGCTTTTGTGGGATTGATGGGAGCTCTTCAGATGGGGGAGGCAGGGAGAGGCTGTCCCAGGAGAGCCAGCCAGGGTAAATGGGATTACACACAGGGAATGAGAGGAAAGGAAGTGAGGAGGGCAGTAATCTGGTTACAAGCCAAGTGCCATCATGGAACCGAGTGACGCAGCATGGCTCATGGTGGTGTGGGCAGGGCCAGATCTACCACACTCAGAATAATCTTCCTCCAAGGAAGCAGGGGAGGCAGCGGCCCCTGAGGAAGGATTGAGGTGTGGAGGTTGCCAAACTCAGGAACAGCCCCAGGTTTTTGCGTGGGACCTGCTGTTTCTCCAACAAAAGTCTCAGATGGCTGTTGGATCAGCGAGGGAGTGTGAACCCAATATGGCCGAAGAATCAAACAGGGAACCTGGGCTGGGGCGTGTGTAGCCAGCATCCCATGGACAGTCCTGGCCAGGGGAGGGGGGCAGGAGGGGGAGGACTGACCGTTTGGTTCTCCTTCCCGAAGGAGAGCTGAGGAAGGTGTGGATCTCCTCAGCACCGAGGAAAGTCAGGGGCTCCGGGGTCTCTCGTTTCACGCCCAACACAGCACACAACTGGCCATAGCTCAGCGCCTGAGGAGAGGCCAGGGGTGATGAGAGTGAAGGGTGCCCCAGGCAGGACTGAGGCCCAGGGCCACAGAGCCCGCCCCACCCCGTACCATCCCCACACGCCGAGGGGGGGGGCACCTCATCCTGGCTGATTTCTTCGTAGCGTCTGTCCTCAAATCGCTGCTTCACAGCTGTCAGAGACACCTGCCGGTAGTCCTTAGGGACATCATCGTGGAAGCTAGAAAGAGCCACAAGGCAGACACTGAGGGTCTCCTCCCCAAATTTGTTTTTACTTTTCTTGGAAATTATGAGTTTTAGCACTCAGGGCCTGGCTGGCTAGGCGGGTGGCCACAGGGTCCTGGCCGGCGAGGCGGGTGGCCACAGGGTCCTGGCCGGCGAGGCGGGGGGCCACAGGGTCCTGGCCGGCGAGGCGGGGGGCCACAGGGTCCTGGCCGGCGAGGCGGGGGGCCACAGGGTCTTGTGTTTCTTGCTGGTCCAGCCTGAGACTGCACTCTTACCTCCCTGCCTCTTACCTCCCTGCATAGCTGGTATTACAGTCTTGCACAACTACCCCTAGCTTGTTGGTTGAGCCTGGGGTCTTCACTAATGAGGGTAGCCTCAAACCAAAACATTCCCACTCTCTCTTCCCAGAAGGCTGGTATGAGCCACCATACTTGTTCCCCACCCCAATTTTAGTCCAATTCCCTCAGTTTGATAGAACTACAAGCTTTCCAAACCAGCCCAGTGCTAGGTTCAGGTGACTCACACATGTAACCCTAGCTTCTCAGGAGACTGAGAACTGGAGGATCAGTTGGAAGCCAGCCCAGGGAAGAAGTCCATGAGAGTCTTTTTGGGTGTTTTTTTTTTGGGGGGGGGTTGGTTGTGGAGCTTGAACTCATCGTCTGGGGTGCTGTCCCTGAGCTTTTTTGCTCAAGGCTAGTGCTCTTCCACTTTGACCCACAGCTCCACTTCGTTTTTTGAGTGGTTAATTAGAGATAAGAATCTCAGGGGGACTTTTCTGCTTGGGCTGGCTTTGAATCTCAATTCTCAGATGTCAGCCTCCTGAGTAGCTAGGATTACAGGTGTGAGCCACTGGCACCTGGCTTCCATAAGATTTTTATTTCCAAATATAATCTAGTAAGACACGACCTGGATGAATGCTCAACCAGAAACCAGGGCAACTGCACAGACACTAGCAAGGTGGTCAGAGCCAAGGTGTGATGTCCTGGAAGGGGCCAAGTACCCCAGAGAGAGCTTCTGTGGAGTAGCAGGAAGCTAGCACTTCCTGGCTCCTTAGGCTGAGGACTGAAGAAGCAGCCTAGAGCTGGTTAGGAAGACCAGACTCTGAGGGAGGGAACCAAGAAGTGGGAGTCCATGAACAAAGTGGAGGAGGAAGTGACGGGGAGGCAGCTGCAGCCGGGGACCCCTTTGCCCGCACGTCCCCCCATCCTCTGCTCACAGCCAACAGACTCCCTGGCCCGCGCTGGCCCACCTGCTAGTGGTGTGCTTCCTGTAGGAGAAGCTTGGCCCCGTCTACATGCCAGTCCCTCCCCACATCTGCTCCGTCTCCACCTGACTTTCTGTGATGCTGTGGCCTGTGGTGCTCTGCAAACTTCACGGGGAACAGCAGCATGAGGTGAGGGAGGCGCCCAGAGAGAGGGAGCACAAGTGTGGAGGCCACAGCGGTGGGGTGAGGAGACCAGGCACAGAGTCAGCTCAGACGGGCACAGAGGCTCCATGTGGGAAAGAGCCTCAGGGCAGGGAAGGTGGCTCAGTGGTAGAGCGCTTGCCTAGCATGCACTGCATGAAGCCCTGGGTTTGATTCCTCAGTGCCACATACACAGAAAAAACCTAAAGTGGTAGAGTGCTAGCCTTGAGCAAAAGCAGCTCAGGGACAGTGCCCAGGCACTGAATTCAAACCCCAGGGCTGGCAAAAAAAATAATCAATTAAAATGTCAGCCTGGAAGACTCCCTTGGCTGCCATGAAGCAGCAAAGCACCCAGGGCACCTGAGACCCCTGGCTGGCCTTCCCCCAGCTCGGGCATTTCCTTGGAGACGTACCATTTTTTGTGAAGACTGAAGACGCAGGGAGTGAGGTCTTCCAAGGAGAAGCCAGTGAGGTCCCACAAGCGCGGGGTCCAGGGCTGTGCTGGGGAGGAAAGCGGGCCAGGGTTGTGAGGGCCGCCTGGTCCACACTCACAATACAACTTTGCCAGCTGTGTGTGACAGGCTCCCCGAGCTCTGTCTTGTGATCCTTTTAAAATGGCTTTGGAAAAAAAAAAAACCCTAAAGAACATACAACCCGACTGCCACAAATCCGAGAAATACTAAGCTAGAACCACCTTGGTATCTGTGGAATGAACTACCGTGGTTCACACCACCGTCTTCCTCTCCAGCACGGATGGAAACTCACTCTCTGGCTCTCCACTGGCTGCCGTCGGAGCACCCCCCAGCACCAGGACCCGGGAGAGGGGCTCCTTACTCTGCCTGTGTATGGCTCTGGCGAGGACCAGCGCTGCGCAGGCCAGGTGGGCTGGGGCGTACACGGAGAGGCTGGTGTGCAGCAGGGACAGCTCGCAGAGGAAGCTGCACAGGTGCTGCGTTCTGGGCGCCACAGGGATCAGTGTCAGCAGGACGTCTTTGTAATCCACCACGGTGGGGATCTAGACAGAAGGGGGAGGTGAATGGAGAGCCTCCTCCATCCACTCCACGTGGAAGCACGGCCCAGCAGTGGCACAGCCCTGATGATGCTCAGCGTGAGCCCAAGCTCAGGCTTCAGGCCCTCGAGGGGGCCCAGCCGCCGCTGGCTCTGGGGCTCTGGGTGTGGCACAGATTGCTGTCCTCTGGGCCCACTAAGGCCCTCCCAGGACAGGCAAGCTGGACACACTTCATCCACTTCTACTTCCCCTGCCCTCCTGAAACTTCAAGCACAGACACAACGTGGATTTAAGGGGAAGAACACCTTCACTTACTCGAATCTTCCCTTCCAGGGTGGACATGATTTCTCCCATCATTCTCACCAGGTCTTCGTACTTGTATGTGTTGTCTGTGAGCCACACGGCCTCTCGGATGGTCAGGATCTCTTTACTGATGAACCTGGAGTGTGGAAATGGGGTCTCAGCCCTGAGCCCACTTCCTGAGGCAGGCTAAGGAGGTGCAGGGCTCTGGGAGGTCTCGATGTAAGGAGGGCACATGGTTCTGGGCTTCATGACGCAAGCATGCTATACAGCGTGGCTGGCAAGGAGCGTGGCAGATGCTCAGAAGAGGCAGGGTGTGGTGACCTCTACGTATAATCTAGTTCCACAGGAAGTGGGGCTCAAGAGATCAGGATTCACAGCGAGGCTAAACAAAGAAGTGTGCAATACCATCACGCCCGTGGAAGCGGAAGGCGTCATCCTGGCTGTGCGGGAGGGGTCAAGCCGAGCCTTCTGACGCATAAACACAGATTCTATTTGAAAATTAACTACAGAAAAATGGACTGGGTGTGTGGACTGGCTCAAATGGTACAGAACCTGCCTAGCAAACACAATGTGCTCTTGCTCTCTCTCACACCCACACACACACAGTACTAGAAAAAAGATTCAGGGCTCGGGAATATAAAACAGAATGCAGAGTCCAACCATCATCCTTTTCTCATATGACCTCATACAAGGACATTTTCCCTCTTTTTAGTGATACTGGAGTTTGAGTGAAAAAAGCATTGTGAGAATCGCCTTCCACATTGCTGTCCAAGATAAAACAAGGGTGATCGGGCCCTGGCTCAAGGGAGGCAGGTTTGGGTAAAATGCAGGGAAGTCAGGAAGCAGGCTGAGTTCTGTCATGTGGCAGGCTCACAGGGCGTGGGAGGTGAGATGTCTAACCCGCTGTGTGTCTGTGAACACCGAGGACCTAGGAGGGGGCCTTCCGCCACCTCTCTAACAGTCACCCTCGAAGCTGGGAAGATGGTCCAGCTATGCCAGCAAACAGCACAACAGCCCAACAGCTGCTGCTCTGCCGAGGAGCAGCCCACTCCCGAGTGCTCTATGTTGGAGCCAGTTAAGACCCTCAAAATTAACTTCCCAAGCTGGTACCGGAGCATCATGCCTGTAATCCTATCTATTCAGGAGGCTGAGATTTGGAGGATTGCAGTTCAAAGCCAGCCCAAGCAGAAAAGTCCACAAAGACGTCTCCATCTTCAAAACTATTCAGCAAAACCAGGTGCCAGTGGCTCACACCTGTACTCTTAGTTACTCAGAGAGGCTGAGATCTGAGGATCGTGGTCAAAGCCAGCCTAGGCTTATCTCCAATTACTCACAGAAGTGGTACTGTAGCTTAAGTTGTAGAGCGCTAGCCTTGAGCAAAAGGAACTTAGGGACAGCACCCAGGCCCAGAGTTCAGGGCCCAGGACTGGCAAAAAAAAAAAAAAAATCAGCAAAAAGCAGGACTGGCAGTGTGGCTTAGATGGCAACAGGTGAGCAAGCAAGCCAAACAAGTGTAAGGTTGAGTTCAAAACCTGGTATTGCACGCGTGCACACACACACAGCAACAAAAATAAAACCTCACTTCCCTTAAGATTCTGCCAGCAGCCCAAGGACAGCTGACCATACTTCAGCCCAAGAAGAGCCAACACACACAAGTGCATGGGCCAAGGGGTTTCTCACCGGGTACAGATGACCATGCAGGCAATGCCCAGCAGCTGCAGCTTGAACCGGGGCACCAGCCTCCTCCGCAGGTACCGGTCCACACACTCCACCGTCAAGTGTAGGCACAGGCTGGAGAAGTCTTTCATTGTGGCCACTTCCACCAGCCAATCTATCAGAATGTACCTGTGGAGAAGACGTCACCCCTGAGAACCAGGACAGGCTTCTCCAAGGACCACACTCTCAGTGCGCATTTGTGGACTCACAAATGGCTAGAGACACCCTGCCCCAGGAGCCCCCGGAGGTTGTTCCTGGGAGGATGAGCAGAAGGAAAAACACAGGGCACAGATCTTTGAGGTTTAAATTGGCCAGGACTAAATAGACTAGAAAGTTCTCCTGAACAGTTAGACTTAATAAGCTTAGTAATTTGACTTCTAAAATGCACCCCTGAAATGTATACATTAAATATGCCAAGCATGGTGGTAGCCTCAGCAATCAGGAGGCTGAGGCAGGAAGATCATCAATTTAAGGTCCACTTGGATGACACAGCAAGACTTTCTCAAAAAACCAACACAACAAAGAATAAGGGCCAGATGTATAATATATATTATATTATAGCATATAATATATATTACATCCGGGTGCTGGTGGCTCAAGCCTGTAATCCTAGCTACTCAGGAGGCTGAGATCTGAGGATCCCGGTTCAAACCAGCCTGGGCAGGAAAGTCCATGAACCTCTTATCTCTAATAAACCATTCGAAAACCAGAAGTGGTGCTGTGGCTCAAGCCATAGAGTGCTCACCTTGAGATGAAGAGCACAGGGACAGTGCCCAGGACAGAGTGCAAGCCCCATGATGACCAAAAAAATAAAAATAAATAAATAAGTACATACATACATACATACATACATACATACATATATATATATATATATATATATATATATAACACACGAATATGATATATACTATATATATAGTAATATATAATATAAAATAGCAAGACTACTCAAAAAAGCAAAACAGTGTAAGAGTCAGACATTCCTCCACAGAGAAGGAAAGAAGAGCTGGGGGTGAGTGGGGTGGAGTAGGGTGGGGTGAGATGCCAGATACCAACCACAGGCCCAGGATTGTGAAAGCACTCCAGCTTGAGGCTGCCAACACGAGGGCAAAAGGGTGCTGGATTCCTGGGCCGTGTGTATGTGATCTTGTGAGTGTGTGTGTGTGTGTGTGTGTAAGATTGAGCTTTTCTTGGGAAGAAACTGCCATTTTTGAAACAAATAAATATATATATATTTAGTGTTTTCGTTGGTAGAAGGCTTGAACTCAGGACCTGGTTGCAGTCACTGAGCTTGTACAGATAAGCCATAAAGAAAATTGGTGTTGCTTATCATTCACTGGCCTATGGTTTCCTCTCTAGCATTCCATCCTTAGCCTGTCAGAAAAAAAGGCTCTATTGCAACTGTAAAAATGGAGGACTCAAGTCCTATCACTTTAGAAAGATGTTCACACAGGTTACATGTTCTATGGTTTTCTTTTGTTTTTAAAAAAAGGAACTGGGAAGAATGGAGCAGGGTATTTTCTTTATAGTTTTGCTTAGACAAAACTTTTGTTGTTTATCTTGTCACGGGGCCCGTCCCTGGGTTCTTTTGCTCAAGGCTAGTGCTCTACCACTTTGTGCCACAGCTCTATTTCCTGTTTTTGAGTGGTTAATTGGAAATAAGAGTTTCATAGGAATTTTTCTGCCTGGGCTGGCTTTGAACTGCGATCCTCAGATCTCAGCCTCCTTAGTAGCTAGGATCGCAGGTGTGAGCCACAATGCCCGCTAGTTTATTTTTAAGGGAACCCCCCCCCCCACACACACACACAATGCAAGGACCCTAGAGGGCTGGCCGCACTGCCTAGTAACAGATCTCTTTGGTAGCCTTCTGCCCTGGAATCAAAGACCCGTGCCCTGAGATGTCGCACCTCATTGTGTCATTGAGCCCCTCCTGCACAGAGAAGATCTGCTGCTTACTGACAACTTGGGAGGACTGGAACAGCTGCCAGACGACCTCTCTGCAGGCTTTCCCTTCCAGTCCGAGCTGGTTTCCATTTGCACAGGCTTTGGCTAGGGCCAGCTGAAAGACAAGGTCAACATGAAATCGAGCAAAGCTCGAGTGAAGGTAGAAAACAAAAGTATGAGCATTTCCTGCTCCCTAAGCCTTACCAACTTTTCAGACCAGTCAAATACTTTTGAGTTGCTGTTTTTTAGAATAATACAGCACAAGCCACTATTTTTAGACGATGAAGCATCAGTTGCTTTCGTACAAATCCTCAGCCAGTCTCCTATCTATGTTTCAAAACCTGCCTGTTTCTGTTCACCCCAAGATGTGAAAGTTAGGTGCTTCTTTGGGTGGGGTTCAGGGGTTGGAGCTACACTGCAAAGTGAGAAGAGCTGCCTGGATGTCTTGCAAGATCTAGGTTTAAGATCACAAGCAAAGTGGGGACCCCTCTATTCTTGGTTTCCTCTTTCATGAATCTGTACATTAACAGTCCTTGGATTAGCAGGTGAGGACAGACTGATAAGTATCTGGATTTGGCATCATGGATTTCAGATGGTTCCCAGAAACCATTTCCTTCTGAATTTTCCCAAGCATAGCCTGAGCACTGTCCCTGAGCTTCTTTTGCTCAAGGCTAGCACTCTACCACTTGAGCCACAGCCCCACTTCCAGCTTTTTCTGTTATGTGGTGCTGAGGAATCAAACCCAGGGCTTCATGCATGCTAGGCAAGCACTCTACCACTGAGCCACATTCCCAGCCCTCTCAAGCACTTCTGACATAGCATTACACATACATTTGTGACTGAGGTTTACATACATTTTAGCTTTCTTTTGTCCACCTAATAGTAATATAAGGTTTTCCATGTGATTAAACACATATAGACAACTATTTTCTGTATAACATTCAATGCTACATCTACTTCTTGAGCCATCCCTTCAGTCCAACTTTTTTTTTTTTTTTAATCTCCAGTTAATTGGAAATAAGAGTCTCTTGGCTTTTTCTGCCAGGGCTGGATTTGAATGGTGACTCTCAGATCTCAGCCTCCTGAATAGCTAGGATTACAGGTGTGTGCACCTGGCTTGTTGCATCTGTGGTTTGCCTTGGATTTCAATACTCCCACCTATGTCTCCCCCACAGCTGAGATGACAGGGGCGTGCCACCTCACTAGGCTGTTAAGATGGGAGTCTTGTTAACTTTTTGCCTGGGCTGACCTCAAACAGCAATCTCTAAGACAGAAGGAGAAAGGCAAGCTCCCATGTTACCTGGGCTTCCCAGTAGCCTTTTGTAGCAAAGTCCCTGAGTTTCCGGAAGCTGTGGAGGCATCGTCCAGGATCTGACACCTGTCAGCGGGAGAAAGATACCTCAATTTTTATGGGATGTGGGAGGAACTCAGAACTGACCCATCAAGCTCTTAAGTGTCCCTGCTCCTACCACCAGAAAGGCTCTACCTCTGCTGTCTTCCCAAACAGTGGTGGTTGTTTTGGAAAGTAGCCCACCATTCAGCTATGCCTGACAGCTCACAGATCAGGAGTTGTGAGGACCCATACTTTTGCCAATAGAACTCAGCCAAGAACCCCCTTCCCAGACCAGATTCCACTCACATCCGTTCTTCTGTCACTTTCCCAGAGGAGGTATGAACTGGCCAGACAACCCTCGTGAGCAGACTCTTCAAACAACTGGCGGGCCTGCTTCTTCTTCTCTTCATCCTAGATGAAGGCCAAGCACAACTGGTTCTTTCCTTACCCTCTGCTAGTTACTACGTCATCCCAACAACCATCCATCCTCTTAAATAATCATATTTGTGAATTAACTGAGTCAGAGCAGAAATGACTTCTCTAGAGACATTTCAACGTGCTGAACAGCCATGAGAAGCCTGGCCTCAGAGCTCTGGCCTCAGCCTCGGGGCTCTGCTTTTCTCCTGGAGCTCAGCTCTCACAACCCAAGGCCTGTGCTTCACACGAGGTGCCAAAGCTAATGCCTCAAACAGCCTGGGCATGGTGTGGGGGCTCTCTTCATTGCTTTAGTGGCCTTCAGCATCCCTCTCTGTAGCTTTCCTTTCCTGAAGCTATTACAAAGGCACTCACTGATCACAAAGCGCATTAAAGCTTCCAGACCAGAAAAGCACAGATGTCTGTAAGACTCACCAATGGCCAAGCCAATAACAGACAAACAGGCTAGCACCACTGGCTCAGTTCCGAATGCCTCTGTGCTGCTCTGCCTCTTACCCATGCTGTCCCATTTAATTCTCAAAGATACTCAGAATCCAGGTCAGGTAGGCTCAGGGCCCGCCCTGGAGGCAGAGAGAGTGAAGCCAGCAACCCTGCCCTGACCAGCTTCAGGTGCCTCTAAGGGCAAGAAGGCTTGTCTTTTATATTCACTTTGCACAGCCATTTCTGCTGTTTTTCAAGTACTTCCTGGAGTCTAGCCAGGGATTTGCAGCAATTCTACTCACCTCAAAAAGATTTAGCACTCTTCCCAAACAGTGAAGTATGGATGCTTTATGAGTCTTGAAAAAAGGAGAAAGAAGTGTGATTTTCAGTAGGAAGAACTGCCAGGTCCTGCCCGCCCTGCTGTGCAGCCCCTAACTTCACACCATGGACCACACCTCTATTTCAGTCTTCAACTTATGCAGCCTGAACCCTCAAAGTTTCCAGCTGCAAACACTCCCACTAAGAGCTCTGTGATCACCCTCTGGCCCTACGGCAATTTATTTCCTCCCTCCCTTCTTTTCTTCACTTCCTAACCACACCTGTTTGGGTAGGCAAAGTGCTAGGGATAAAATGCAGTACTCTGAGCGTGCTAGCCAAATACTCTACCACTGAGCTACACTCCCAGCCCTGCATTTCCTATTTTGTACGTCCATTTCCTTTACGTCCCTGACTTTAAATAGCCCATGGGGTCTGCCTTGGCTTTCTGTGACCCTTTAGCTGGTTTCAGGTGCTGCCCCCGTGCCCCTTTGCCAAGACTCACATTCTGTAACTGGCACTCTGCCCTAAGGCTCTCATGAACCACGGCCTTGCAACAGCTTCCAGACACCGACCATGGCGGGCGGATGAAGAGCCAGATGAAGGGCTCGGCACCCACATTCAGTCGCTCTGCCAAACTGAAGAAGTGAGAGGCCTTCAGGCCATTCACTTCTGCACGGGCTTCATCAGACACGGAAACTGCAGGGCAGACAATAGAATAGAATCCAGGATGTCTCTGGTAAATGGGATAAACTTCTCCATAATCATTTTGGAAAGTCTAAACACTTAAGCTTCCTGAGCTGGACACCGGTGGCTCCTGCCTGTAATGGTAGCTACTTAGGAGGCTAAGATCCAGAGGTTTGCTGTTTGAAGCCAACCTGTACTTAAGGTGTGGCTCAGGAGGTAGAACACCAGTTAAGCAAGGCAGCTGAGTTCCAATTCTAGTCCCGGCCAAAAAAACCCCAAAACAACCCAAAAACAAAAAGAAAAACCATAAGCCAGCTATAGTGGAAAGTTGCTGGTGTTTTAGGACAGAAGAGCCCTTCTAGACTAGCGTGCCTTCCTCTTCTCTTCTTTGTCCAGCTTCAGGACTGGTTGGGTTGGCTCTTGCTAAGAGTCCTTTGGGAAGCCTGAATTCTTGCTACCAGAAGATGAACCTCAAAGGCATGGTCCCCAACCTTCCTCATTCAGAAACTCCTGCCTGGTCCCCAATAATGAGTTGGGGGAAAGGTTCTTTTGGGGATAAGAATGTTCTAAAATGCCAGGCATCCATGGCTCATGCCTGTAAATCCTAGCTACTCAGGAGGCTGAGAGCTGAGGATCACGGTTTGAAGCCAGCCCTGGCAAGAAAGACTGTTAGAAAACTGGAAGTGGATGGGCTGGGAAGGTGGCTCAGTGGTAGAGTGCTTGCCTTGCATGCATGAGGCCCTGGTTTCGATTCCTCAGCACCACATAAGCAGAAAAAGCCAGAAGTGGCACTGTGGCTCAAGTGGTAGAATGCTAGCCTTGAGCTGAAGAGCTGAGGGACAGCGCCCAGGGCCAGAGCTCAGGCCCCATGACTGGCAAAAAAAAGAAAACTGGAAGTGGAGCTATAGCTCAAATAGTAGAGCATGAGCCTTGAGCAAAAGAAGCTCAGGTACATCGCCCAGGCCCTGAGTTCAAGCTAGCACTTTACCACTTGAGCCACAGCACCACTTCCTTGCCTTTTCTGTTTATGTGGTACTGAGGACTCAAACCCAGAGCTTCATGCATGCTAGGCAAGTATGCTACCACTAAGCCACATTCCTAGCCCCCCAACCCCTCCCCCAAAGTTTTGAAACAGCGGCAACGGTTACAAAACTGAATGTTATGAAACCACAGTATTGCATACTGTTGGTACAATGCTATTTGACAGGAAAGTGGGGGCAGGACCTGGACTTTCCTGAGGCTGGAGGACGGGACTGCTCCCTCAGCTGGCCAAGGGCAGGGCCTATTACTTAGCAAGATACCAGAACTTTTAGGAACAGGAAAACATTTCTATACCTAAGCTTTAGCAGTTTGGAAGCTGGGACAGCACAGATTGGGATTGCTCATCTTTAGGATGAGGAGCAGATTAAGTAGAAGCAGGCAGAAGAGAAGCCTACATGAGGATTTTTTTTTTATTTGGTCAGTTGTGGGGCTTGAACTCTGGGCCTGGGCGCTGTCCCTCAGCTCTTCAGCTCAAGGCTAGCTCTCTACCACTTGAGCCACAGCACCACTTCTGGTTTTCTGGTGGTTAACTGGAGATAAGTCTCACAGACTTTTCTGGACTTTCCTGCCCAGGCTGGCTTTGAACTGTGATCCTCATATCTCAGCCTCCTGAGTAGCTAGGATTACAGGCGTGAGCCACTGGCGCCTGGCATACATGAGGATTTTTCAAGAAGTCTGGGGGAAAAGGTATATAAATGCTGGCTCTGACCCAGCCTTGCCACGGGGATCTATGGCTCTGACTAAGTCATTGTCACTCTAAGAGTCAGACATGCTGACTCTGTCCAAGAGCTCCACAGGGGATGTCTTAAAAGTGAAGGCAGGGGGTCTGATTCGTCCTCTCAGTCCTTGTTCAGAGACTCTGCTCAAAGTTATTCTTGGCTGCCCCAAATTCAAGGGTTTGGAAAAGTAAGCAATAACTCTCAAAACCTAAATCGGAGTATCACCGGCCCTCACAGAAGGTCTCTGGATACAGGGCACTGAGAGAGGCAGATACAGCAAGAATAACTAAACTGCTAGTACTGGGGATGTCTTTGGAAAGAACTAATTGTGAGGGGGTGGGGCGAGGACTCACGGCCTTCATTGTAGAGGTAGGCTATACCCAGCTTCACCGCAGCTTCAAAATTTCCCTTTTCAGCAGCCCTGGAACATTAAGAACATAACACGTCACATTACGTCGCAGAGGCCATGTACTGCTGCCACTGAACTTAGCACGGACTACTTCTTTCTTTTATCCATTCTACCCTACAATATGTATAAACCTTAAAAAACATGTTCAAAGGAAGAAGCCTGTCAGTCATAAGAGATCGCAATGTTATGGTTCCATTTACATAATGTCTAGAGTCAGCAAGAAAATACAGTAGGGGTAGACTGTCTTCTAGGGTTACAGGAAAACAAGAGGAGTGACTGGGAACACCATTTAAGTTAGTGTGATGTTTGCACAACTCTGCATATATGAAGAGGAGTGAGCAGTATACTCTAAGTGCACAAGCTGTATGGCGAGTGGATTGTGTCAAGAACTATGTGCGTTTTATCCAGGAGGAGACCAAGCATGGCCACAGCAGCACCACATTGTGTAATTGTGGTTGTAAGTCTACCTGGGGTTTCTGGCAGCTCAAGTGGATAAAGACCTAGGTAAACTTGGCAGGAAAATCCCCTTTAGAGTCGTGCTTTTTTCCAGTTTGTTAAACAAGGAGGTTCAAGGCTGAGCCACTGGATTTTAAGGTTAGCTTCTGGAACCATTAGTAGTTTTGGAGGTGGGCCCAGTGGCTTGCACCAGGGCTCGTGATAGACTTCCCTTGGGGTTACAAGCCTAGCAAGAATGTGGAACCAACCAATGAATGAAAGGCAATAAAATTGAAATTACATGATTTTTTTTTTGTCTTTTCTTTTTTGGTACTGGGGATCGAACCCAGGATGTTGCACTTGCTAGGCAAGCGCTTTGCCACTGAGCTAAATCCCAGCCCTGAAATTACATGATTTTGAATGAAGGAAAAGAAGGCTAAAGCAGGTGAATCATGTTTGGGTCACAAGGGAATAAATCACAGGCCAAAGGGGATCCACGGAAGCATGGCGGGCGTGGGAGGTGATGAGTGAGGAAGTGGTGTACCTCACTAGCTGAGGCCTACAGCCCTGGGTTACTCTCAAAGAATGAGGCAAGGTTCTGGGAGACAGCAACAGGAAAATAGATCCCTGGATCAGGCCATGAGACCCAGACTGAAATACCAAGAAGCTCAAAGGCAAGAGCAAATCAAGCCATCTTTCTCAGGGCAAAGATACCTTTCAAAGAGCTTCAGGTTCTTTGGAGAAGGCCACAGTTCCTGGAAATTGGCACAGGCCCACACGCTTGCATGGTTGTCTACCAGATACTTCAAGTGGGAATGTACCTGCAGAGCAATGAAAACCAGGTGTGGGTTACATAGGGATTGCCTCAAATCCCTGTTCTTAGAAACTCCTGAAGACAGGACAGAAACAGATACAAAGCCTTCTGTCCCTTCTTTATACAAAGGTTTTTTTTATTTGTTTTGTCATGGGGCTTCAACTCAGGGCCAGGGCTCTGTCCCTGAGCTTTTCACTCAAGCCTAGCAATCTAACACTCTGAGCTACAATGCAACTTCTGGTTTTCTGGTGTTTAAAGATAAGTCTCATGGACTTTCCTGCCTAGGATGGCTTTGAACAATGATCCTCAGATCTCAGCCTCCTGAGTAGCTAGGATTACAGGTGTGAGCCACCAATGTCTGGCGCTGTGTGTGTGTGTGTGTGTGTGCGTGCGTGCACCCTGGGGCTTGAACTCAGAGGCTGGACTGTTCTTGAGCTTCTTTTGTTCAAGGCTAGCACTCTACTAGTTGAGCCACTTTGACTTTTTGATGGTTAATTGGAGATAAGAGTCTCACAGACTTTCTTGCCCAGGTTAGCTTTGAACTGTGATCCTTTTATCTCAGATTCCCTGAGTAGTTAGGATAACAGGCATGAGCCACTGGTGCATGGCTCCAAAGTTTTGTTCTGACATAAGAGCACCAAGTCTTGACTGTATAATCAACAAGGACTGAAATTGTTTTCATCTAATGACTTACAGCTCGGACAGCAAGGATGTCCTCAACAGAAAGCCATTTCAGGATGTGAAAGAGCACATCTTCCGGGAGATTCAAGATAGTTAGGTTTCGGGGTCTCCTTCTGATTCTTCGCTTAGTAGGGTAAGAGAAACATTTGGCACATCTACAGTGGATCACTTAAGGGAGAAAAAAGAAGTCATGATGAAAGGAAAAGTTATATATGAATGAAGGCAATTTAAATCACTGTCTCTTTGCATCACAAAATGAACTACTCCCAAAGATTATAAAGGAATTGCATTATATGAACTACAGAAGACCTCATCATTTGTTAAATATCTAGCAAATATTCACAGCAAATTTAAGGTATCATGCACCCTGACCACTGGAAACTTTCTGACCAAGAGTCTACATTGCAACTAGGAATGGGAAACAGGCAGCGAACACTGAGGAATATTTGCCTTGAATCTCATGCTCAGGTAAAGCCCTTTGAACCACTAGGGTGTTTTTTCTTTTCTTTTTTTTGCCAGTTCTGGGGCTTGAACTCAGGGCCTGGGTACTGTCTCTGAGCTTCTTTTTCTCAAAGCTGCATGTTACCACTTGAGCCACAGCACCAGTTCTGGCATTTTCCGTGTATGTGGTACTGAGGAATTGAATCCAGGACTTTGTGCATGCTAGCCAAGCACTCTACTAAGCCACATTCCCAACCCTGGCATTTTTTTCACTTCTATTTGCACACGTGACTAAGAAGCAGAACATACAATGAGGATCCATGGATTTAAAGAGTATAGGTTTGGAGCACAAATTGAGAGTCAATTCTGCAGGAAGTCAAAAGGACTTGAGAGGCCAGGCCAGTCCCTCTGCAAATCTCTGCTCTGCAAATGTCAGAGCTGAGCAGGCCATGAACCTCCCTGTTGTCCTCTGTAAAATGGGGAGTTGATAGCTACTCAACAAGGTTGTCAAAATTCCAACCACCCCAACACATAGCTTCACACAGAGTGATTGCAAGCACTAAAGGCCGGACATGTCAGCTGCTGCCCAGTCAAGCTCCTCAGATGACTCTTCCATCTCCCCACACTGGGTCCTTTCAACTCAGCTTTATCCCTTCTTTTACAGGAAAATGCCCTGGGTCACGATTCAAGATCCTGCCTCCCAGTCTACCAGTTCTCCAGTCTTTCCAATCCATTCTTCCCAGATAGCTGCTCCTTTCTGTATATAGATGATTCCCTCTGCGGGAGTAATAGCCGTGGCTCACACCCTCCTCTTGACCTGGGTTTTCCTGTCAGAAACTCAATGCGCTGCCAAGTTAAAAAGATGTATTCCCAGGACCAAGATCCCAAAGATCATACCGTATTACAAAAAAAGTTTCTGCATCCACCCATTTCAGAACAAATGCCTGAAAAGATTCAGTAACCACTGTTAACACCCCAAGTCCCACGCCCAAAGCCCCGTAGGTGGACGCG